TTATTATAAATAAACAATTTCATTGTTAATATTTTCTTTTCATAATTTACCTTGTCATAAATCTTTCTTCATCAATATAATTTTCAATTATTATTGAACCTTTTTTAATCAATGTTTTTAAAAGAATATTAGAAATATAGGGTTTAAAAAAAATGCACATACCTTATCTAGCTCCCGAAGACCACAACTTGCGAATGATAAACGCTCATTCAACTTCTACTCATGGTCTGCTATGCCTCATCACCAAGTTGTATGCTTTCACGGGTTAAAGCTCGAAGCCTACTACTCAAGTGTCCATTGATCTTCTGTTTATCCAATCGGACACTTCAAATGTTCAATTCAAAAGCAAGCCTCGTTCACCCTTCTCTCTTGACTCAACGACTTTGCTGCAAAGCTCTTGTGTGTGATCAGCATTAAGCCCAACATCTTCTCTGTCTCCATCTTCTAAATAAGTCAGTCATTTGACTATGAAAAGAGTTTTGCAATTAATCGTCGATGCTCTCGTTTCTATCATAGCTCCTGTCATCCTTACCATTGTAGATTTTGCTCATCTTCGGCTTCAATTGATTCATTCAATGTTTCAGCCTGCAATTACTAGCATGATCCAACGCTCGGTCTCCTTGCTTCGACTCGCATGATAGGCTCCTGAGCTTCTGTTTACGTCAATCAAGCCGTTGGTTGCTTCCAGAGTTCACAAAAGCTCGAAAAAGGTTCTCTCGAGCCACCTATTAAAGGTGTCTCTCCTCATTCCTCTTCTTCTTCTTCGCATTGCCTCGTCTCTCGTTTATGCTTTCTAATTCCTCCCTCGGGTTCAAATGAGATATATGATACTTGATGAAACTGTCGAAACGCTTCGTTCGAACCAACAAAACCAGTTAGAATTCCATTCTTCATCCCTATTTTCAGTCATTACACATTCGATCCATGGACACCAAGAAAGGCTAATCCGAGAGCTTTTTTTTGATTCGACCAACAGAAGTTGACCAATTTTCTAAAATTGCCAGCACGAAAGGGCTGCCTAAGCCTCCTTAAACTCTGCTTGAATCCAATCTGAGACCGATCGGGCTTGGTTGTGTCGCCTAGACTAGACAGAAAGAAGTTGGTACACCAAGCCACCTCAGTCTAACAACGAGCCTTCTCAGGCCCCTCATTTTCTTTGAGATGCTATCTTCTGTCTTGGGTCACCTAATCGAGTTCCTCAGAGGGATGATCATTATTCCAGCCCCTACTTCGGTCGCCATGGTCCAAAGGAGCTGGAATTCTTTCTAGCAAAATTGGCCTCTCCCAAGCCAATTCCTTCATTTCATTCATTCCATAAGTCAGAGTGAACTCCAAGAGAATCCTCAATTACTTCTACTGAGCCCAAGCTGCAGTTCGTCAAAACTCCTTTCAAGAAGCTCGGCTGAGGTGAGATCTGATTCCATCCACTGAAATCCAATTCTTCTAAGCTTAGAAGCTTCCTAGGATTCCTTGGATGGTTTTTAACGGGCTGTTGGTTTGCTGAAAAAAATAATGTAGGGTAAAATAAACATAAGACAAAATAATATGTTGAATTTGAAATAATTTAGAATTATTTTGTTCCCTGTAAAATAAATGTAGAACTTTTTTTTGAAGAAGAAGAAAAAGAAGAAGATTAAAAACAACGTATTTCAAAATATATAAAGTATTATTGGCCAAGAACTGGAATTGCCATAAGCAACTGGCAACAGTGGTGATCGGTGGCGACTGGCGGTGGCTACAGGGAAAGTAGGGGAGCTTCACCGATCTCACGTCCACTCCTTTACGCCTGCTTTGGTCTCCTGAAGTTAGGGGAGCTTCAACCTCATATGTCAAAGCTTCTGGATTCTCATGGTATGGTATCAAATAGAGCACGTTGAAGGTGTTGGAGCAACTGCAATTGCCCGTTAAGTCACTCCTACAGGTGTGATCATTCCAAAGCATAACCTAATAGAATAAACATTCATCCTTTTCTGACAAAACCCAAGTTGAAGCTGCATATAGTTGTAGATTCTCGCAATGTAACTCTCAAACACTTAAGTTTGTAAGCTTCTTCTTCCACTTCTCATAAATGGTTGAATATATCTGATAAATATGTCTGTCGAGAGGATACAACTCTGGATCAAGATCTATGGCAGATTGGACCACATTGAAGTATAACTACTCAGGAGACGTCTTTCTTCTCAAAAAAGATCTGGACCCAGTGTAGAGTTTCCTTCCCCGCGAAGCTTCTAAGAAAATGTCCAAAGTAATGGTCCAACCTTCCTATATGATATCTGTCAGTGGGTACAGTGTTGAGCTTAAGTTAATGTCTGAATAACTCCATATAGTCGTCTAGAAGTAGCTCACGAGCATTTCATTTCTGACAAGTTGGATCTCTCACAATACGAACAACTCGAAAAATAGACTATATGTCAAAATGTTGGACCATCTGTTAGTGGGTAAACTTTTGAATTGAAGTTAATGCCTGAATAACTCCATATAGTCTTCCAGAAGTAGCTCACAACTTTCTCATTTTTTGACATGTTGAATCTCTCACAGTATGGACAACTTGGGCAGTAGACTATATGTCTGAACAGTCGGAAATTCTCTTATCAAAGGTTGCTCTGTGTTAAGTATTGGCTCACTAATTCATGGCCCTTTTGGACATCTAATGGCAGCCCTGTTGATGCTCTTCTTAACATCTGCCAAAAAGTAGTCTGAGCCACCAAAACCTCATACTATGCCAGAACACCCGTTACCTCGAAGTCGCTACCTTCTAGAACCGCTGAATCTCTCCCCTAGGTTCAACTGGAATTGATGAAGTCTCTTCCTCATTAGCTAGGATTTGAGAATCCTCTTTGAAGTTTTTATCTTTTCCCACATCACCATTTATTTATTCAGTTGTTCCATAATTAGTGAAAGAGATCATTGCTCTGATTGTGCAATCTGATTCACTATGTCCAAGCCGGTGAAACTTGAAACACGTCCTGGCTGGGATGAATTTGAGAATGTGGATTGGTTACACATGTTCCCCACTCCGAATCAATTTCCCCTCAAGCGAGATAAACTTGGATGTTCCCCTAGGTGTACTATGGATGTAAGATTTAGGGGTTAAACCATGCTTGTAAGATGCAACGGTAGCCCGGTGATATGGTGTCTCCAATTTTAAAGCTTGGGTCTGAACATCAGATATGTAATGAGCCAATAAGTACTGGTATTGCATCTCCGATTTCATCGTAAACCAAGTAGTGTTCTTGTCTTTCAACTCACACTGACATAGGTGCTTCAAATTTCCCACAAAAATAATACATGGCTAGTTTCATATTCTATCTTGTGGGACTTCCTGGTACTCAAAGAAAAGTTTCACGATCTAAAGTCATTCGATGAACGCGTCTGGATCCAAGTGGTCCTAAAATGTGACAAATCCACCATTACTTCAAAATTCTAGATTCTTGAATATTTCAAGTCAAATCTTCGAAATGGAGATCCTTCATTCCTAAAATATGCATCGTTGAAGAATTCACTCAATTTCTTCGATCTAACAAATCATTGTTATAGCTACCGATGAAACTTTTGGATTGCCTCCTCTCGAAGGAGGCAAACCTCTGTTGCAGTTGGAGGATTTCCCGCCACATTCCCTCCATATAAGGTTCTCGAACTCCCTTTGTGGATTTCTCATAAACGGCATCATGGCATTTCCCCCCATTCCAGTCCTCGACAATTATTTCTTCGCTGACGTGGTTAGGGTCTAGGGTGTAGATAGGAATGATGTAGAGTGTAAGGATAGTTTGAAAAGAAAATGAGGGGAAAAATTTTTTTAAATGGTAGGGGTGATAAGTTTTGGTATGACGGATACTAGGATGCTAGAAACCCTAGTATGACTAAGATTAGGCTGGCTCTGCTACCAAATGATATTGGAGTTAACCCAAATTATAATATAAAAAAAATATTATTATTGCAAACAAATAGATGGTTGTAGTCAAACACGCTTGAAAGGAAAATTACAACACACGAGACAAACAAACTCGTGTTACGACGGATCCCGAGTGGTGGTGGTGACGGTTAGGAGGCTTGGAGAGGTGGCGGCAAAATAAGGAAGGGGTTTTTGGGCTATGGGTGAGGGGTGGCAGCAATTATGGGTGGTTGGAACAGCAAGGCAACAGACACGACAGTCCAAATAGCGGCAGTTTGTTGTTTAGGGGAGGTCGGAAAGCAAGAAAACAGCAGAGTAGTTTTCCAGATGGCGGCAGCGAGGAACGGCAATCGGGAGGGATGCGAAAAGGTGGAGGCAATAGTGTAGGGTGGCATCGAAGCTTGGAAGAGAGGGAGGCGGCTGGAAATGGGGGAACTGCGAGGAAAAGCAGCAATAGCTGTTGTTCGGGGCAGTTGCAGCAAGGATGTCGTGGTCGGGAGCAATGTGAGAAGGATGTGGAAGGGGATAAGGAAGATAATCACCACTTTGGGAAGGATATACAGTCGAAGCATCACTCGATCCCTTGGATACAGCCCCTATATGGAAAACAGAGACGCCGGTGGCAGTCTCAAACAAACTCATGCAAAACTCAACCCTAAAACATCACAAATAAAAATATATAATAAAAGGATAATAAGGAGTAGCCCAGGAGAACTGGACAACTAGTTATCTAGGACCAGTTTGGCCAGGCAAGATGCGGGACGTTGCTGCATGCGGAACACGATCCCATGTCCCCCTCCTTTACGCCCGCGCCATGATTAGCATAAATATACATTATGAGTGGTGAAAATAAATTTATTTAACTTATTTGGGCATGGGCAAAAGATACACTACTAAAATAGATATACAACTTTAATGTCAAAGCACAATAAAGAAATCGATGGATCAAGGATATCTGGGATAGAACTTGAAAAAATATCAATGCAATATAAGTTTAACACTCAAATAAATCTCAACAAGGACAATTCGAGTATATGTGTTCATCAAGCTAAGGTCAATAATCATATTTCAAACTTTTCATGGACATATTTAAGAAAAACTTGAATACCAGTGAAAAAATTATTTCATAAATCTTCAGTGAATGCCAAAAGCAGATCTGAACCTGTAAGCCCAGAAGAAGTAGCGTCAAATGTTGTCCGCAAAAGCATAAAGATTTGAGTAGCACAAACTATTTTTAAGTACAATGAAGAGTTGGAAAAGCTGCAAATATTAGAAAAGTATGCCTTCTCTTCAAAAAGATAACGTAGAGATAATTTGGAAAATATAATTGAGTTGTTCCAAAATTCAAAAGGGAGTCATATCTTTTAAGAAAATTATCATTGACATTTTTTTTGCTCAACAACCCATTTAGAGTTCGATAAATCATGCAACAAGAAGGTAGTTTTCACTAATTAATTTAAAAAATGCCAGATTTAACAAATAACTCACCATTTTTTCAAGAAAATTTCCATTTGTTACATTGCACCTGCCCCCACCAGAAATCCTCACCTGAAGATTGTAAAATGTTAATGAATTAAGCAGTCAACCAAAAGATACTGATAAAACATTGCACTTAGTTGTTAAACAATACAGCAAAAAAAACGTGTAAATTACGCTTTCAACAAGAATTATGTAAATGAAAAGTAAGTTTTAAAACCAAATTTATGTTTCTATGTGATTTTGAATAGGCAAATAAAAAGGTAGATGTTCTCTGAACTATGAATCCAGTCAGATATATGAATTTAAATATTTTTTTCTGAAAGAAACAATTAAATTCAACAGTAACTTTTTCACAACTTAGTTAATAATTACAATCTTATTATGCATTAAATTCATATGCAAATGTTATAAATGAATGACCAAAAGAAATGTAGTTCACTACTTAATCAAACTGTAAACTTTCATTTTAAATCATATCAGGATTGTCATCATATCCAAAACTATTCTCAAAATTGTACAAATAGGTCCCCTAAAAATTTGCATTGCATCCCATGGTAGTACCATCGACAGACATATCTTGATTGACTTAATCATTTAATTTCATTTCATATCAACTAAAAATCATTTATGTCAATTATTTTCCTCTCATTTATTAGACAACTTTCAAACATTCAAAATGCAAAACAAAAATGAAATATTTATTTTTAAAACTATATTGCAAGTTCATTTTGATCAATTTGAAATGCAATTTCTAAATATACCATTAATTTAATGCCAACAAGAAAAATAATAACTTACTTGAAGCCATAATGTTTTCTCTTTAAAATTTATCCCTTTACTCCACAATATCGTCAATTTTTTACCAATTTCAAATTTGAATAGTCTTATTCCGCACTTTCTAATTAAATAAAAAAATTAATAACATTAATTTTAACAATCATATAAATATTAACATTTACATTATAAGCTTTCAGAGTGATCACCTCCCTTACTCGCACACAAAATTTTATTTCTAGCCCCCACGACCTCAATTTACATAATTTCATATTAACATATGAAATATATATCGATTTAATGAAAAAAAAATTCCAATAAAGAATTCTAACACAAAACTTAACTCGCAAATTAGGGTTTCGCTAAGCTTCGGCTCACCACTTCACAATCGTTATTTTTCTTATTCCCTCGTACATGAAATTCATGTCACATTTTCTCCCTCTAATTAGGAACTTTAAAAGCTTCGATGTTAATCCAATTAAACAATATACGAACATTATTTAAATAAACTTACACCCACATATATATATATATATGAAGATTTAAGTATCCAACATCATTTATTAATTCTAAGTTTTAAGATGATAAGTTGTAAAATAAAGAATACTAGGATGCATCATCGGAGAATTAGATGGTAGAATCTAAAAGACACAAATAAAATTATTTATGAGTAAAATTTAAGTTTTCAAAATTTGGGATGTTTATGAGGAAGCAAATGCTGTGAGATAAAGTAACAAACACTATCAAACAAGTAGCAAAAGATGTGCTTGGAGAATCAAAAGAAACAATTTTTATAAATAAGAAAAATTGGTGGTGGAAAAATAACGTGAAAGAAAAGATGAAATATAAGAAGTTGTGTTATAAAAATTAGTTTAAATATAAAAGCTAAGAGAATTGAGAAAAATATCAAACGGCCTGCAAAGAGTCTAAAAGAACAATCTGTGACACTAAAAATTCTATTTTTAATGATATTTGTAATACATTAGATATTAAAGAGGGTGAAAAATTTATGTATAAACTAGCCAACAAAGAGAAAAAAATATGGATTTAACTCAAGTAAAGTGTATTAAAAATGAAAATCAAAAAAATTTTTTCTTAAAAAAAGATATTCAGCATAGGTGGGTCAGTTATTTTGATAAACTTTTTAATGAAGTTTCTAAAAATACAATCGACCTTAGTGATCTTAATATCGTTAATAATAATAAAATGTTTCTTTTTTACCATTGCATTAGTAAAAAAGAAGTTGAAGAGGCTTTAAAAAAAAAGCAAGCGTGGAAAGTCTGTAGGACCTGATCATATCCCAATTGCTGTCGTTCAAAGCGATGGTGATATATATGGGGATGTTAATAGTAGCATTCAAGTAGGTTGGTGAAGTGGAGGAATGCTTCGAGTCTTTTGTGTGATAGAAAGGTATCGCTTAGGGCTCCATTCGACACCCGCTACAGCTCGAACAAGAGCTTCGTCTAGCACGCATGGCTCGGCTCCCTTCTTCATCCACTTCCTCTGCACATGAGGCTCAGCCTTCTTGCATGCACGCAGAGCTTCATCTCCTCCCTTGCTTCGCGCATCCGGGGCACAAAATCGCTTCCTCCTTCGGCTAGGACTCAACACAACATGCCTTCCTCGGCTCGACATTGGTGTTGCACGCGAAGTTCTTAGGCTTATTCTCTTTCTCCGCATGTTAGGGTTTGATCTCTTCTTCTTTCTTCACTCTTAAGCAATTCAAGGCTTCTTCTTCCCCACACACTGGATCATCCTTCTTCGCACTGAACGCCTGCTCGATAGGATCTTCTAAAGATGACGACTTCACGTCTTCCTTGCCCTAGAAGCACGCAAGGTAACTAGGTCTCCCACTTTCCTCTCTCTTCTTCTTCTTCTTCCTCTTCCTTCCTCTTCTCATGAAGCCCTAAGGTTTTCTTCCGCGCAAAAACACTCTTGCTCCCAACTCTCTGGTTATTTTTTCGTTTCGTATGATATTAGAAATTGAGACATACGACTCTTAAGATAGCCTTAGAGACGATTATCTGTGTCACGTCATATTTTAATTTATTTTATTTTATTTTTATTTTTACTTTATTTATTTATTTAAATTTTTATTAATACATGTAAAAATATGTTACAAACTTGATCGTTAGAGGCTTGGTTCGTGAGAGTACAAGCTAGATGCAGTTTTATCTCTAATTGTGTCAAACATTGATGATTATTTATAACTTCTAAAAAAAGTACTTGGAAGGAAGTATGTATTTTAGAGTTGGATGAAATGGACAAGGGCGTAAATTTTGTTCCTCAAGAGCTCAACCAAGCTGGCCACTTTTGTGCCCAAAGGGCTCCCTTACACAATTTTCCTTTTGATTCGGTGTTTGAATCTTCAGAATTTTTTGCTATCCTCCTTGATGATAGGACCGCTTTTAAACAAGCCAGAGGGCTAGTTTTTGTATTTTTTTGTACTCTTTTCTCTGTTAATGCAAAATGCACACACTTCAAAGATGAAATGAATGTGGGCGTAGATTTTATAATGGGACTGCCTCAAACGCAGCAAGGCAGTGATTTTATTATGTTGATGGTAGATCAATTCTAGAAGCTTCCTACTTGAGGAGAAAGTTCCTCCTACCCACAGACAATGACGTGGGGCTCCCGCTTTTATAAATCCACAAAACAGTGGAATAGTCGAGATCCCACGATCCCAGCTGGACCCGCGAACGCAGGAATTGATTTCAGCTCAGAATGCCAATGTTCTCAATTTGATCGGTTTTTTTTTCCTATTCTTTTAGGGTTTCATAAGGTCTTTTCTGTTAATGAGACTATTTATACGTTTGTTTTTATGTATTGAGTGGGCTTTTGATTCTTATTATTATTATGTTGGGCGATTTTATATTTTGTTTTATGCTCTCTGGAATATCGTACCATCTTTCTTTTGCAAGTAGTGCATTTGTATCTTATTCAAGAACAAGTGGTGGAGCCCCCTCGTCATTTGATCCCAATTTTGTTGTTTTGCAATAAAACTCACTGCCAACTGTTGTTTACAATAAAAAACTGTCATTTTTCCACTTCTGAATCGTTGTCCAATAGCCACTTGGGTCGCATTTAAGGCGTCATCATTTCTCCACCTCTTGTTACCCATCATACAACTTCCCTAATGCCCTTTTATATTTGTTCACACCTTTTAGGTGTCTAAAATGGTATCACCTCCTCCATCAATTCCATCTAAAACCTATTAGATATGTCTGCATTGAAGAATCGATTACCCACAATACATTATATGACTCTAATTGATTCCTTACAATTTTGATATTATTGGAACTACTACGGGCAATATCAGGTAGAGTATTAGCAAGAGTTATTAAAATTAAAATTAAATATTTCAACTTCAACAAGAGCAAAGTTCGAGTATAGTTAAAAGGGATCAACTTTAAATTGCATTTCAAGTTGATTCAAGCAAAATCTATTAAATTTATTATTTAAAAAAAATTACTACTCAAAATTATATGTAACAAAAAATTTTCAAAGTCTTTTTATATATTAGATATAGATGTATTTGCATGTGTATGTGTATGCATACTATTTATGTGATATGTAAGTATTAATACATCTACATGCAAGCAAGCATAAATATAGATTTTTTTTTTTAAGGCACATATATAGATTAACAATACACAATTTGAGTGCATGCATCACATACCAAGTCAATTTCAAGTTGAAACAAAAACTTGTTTCGAGCAAGGCATATGTAATCGATTTTAATTTTTAGTTGATTAAAATTTAAGTGATTATCAAATAGGTTATTTGGTAAACTATTTGACATCAACATGTGTTTCACTTACAGAACGTATGGTTGTATGTGACATCCATATGTGTTTCACTTTTTATTATGATTGGATGGGAATGCAGTGCACACGACACTCGCATATTCAAATTTTTCATAAACTCAAAAATACAACATCCCGAAGCCACCCTCTGAATTGATTAAATATGAATAAATGAAATGGTACTTTTACTGCAATACAAATTATCATAACTATTTCAGAGATATTATTTGGCCAATGTCGGATATCCTTCACAAATAGGGTTTCTCAAACAATTTCCTGATATCAAATACCACATTCCTAATTTTGAAAGAGCAAGTAATATTTTTCGAGGTAGAAAAGAGATGTTTAACAAGAAGCACTTATCCTTACAAAGTGTTATCAAAATAATATTTGGAGCTTGGAAAAAAATGGGTTATTCTGCAAGATATACCCACATATTCATTCAGCCAACAAGTTCAGATTGTGGTCGCTATAATGTCTCTCTACAAC